CTCCTCCTCCTCCTCCTCCTCCTCCTCCTCCTCCTCTTCTTCTTCTTCTTCTTCTTCTTCTTCTTCTTCTTCTTCTTCTTCTTCTTCTTCTTCTTCTTCTTCTTCTTCTTCTTCTTCTTCTTCTTCTTCTTCTTCCTTTAATAGCTTCTAGGTCTCCTGAGGTGGAGACAAAGTTTCAAAGCATTGTGGATCACACTTATGCAAAGCGAATAAAGTTATATTTTTTAAAAAAATCATTCCTCTGTTGGTTTGATTGCCTTTTCCCAGCTCTGGTCAGGCCTCTATAGTTTTGCTTTTTTTTTTTTTTTTTTGTCTTTTTCTCAATGCAGAATTTTGATGATTTGCTTGAAGCCCAGAACTGGCTAGCACAGCCATACTTTGAATTCCAGAGTTGAAAGATTGTCCAATTTCATCTCCTGCGATTTCAGGAAATTCTCAATTATCCTGACCACGTCTCCATTCAGCTTTTGCTAAAACAAATCCCTTTTTAAAACAAAAAACAAAAAAACACACTTTCTTCTGAGCCACATTGCTTCCTTAATTTCTGTATTGTGTTTCCGATTGGGGTGGTCTGGTGACCCCAGAGGGCTCAATTGTTTCCACACCAGGATCTTTTCACTGAAAACATATTTTCTCTTGACTGAGAAAACCACCAAGCTCAGAGAGGACAAAGGACTAGATAAGAAGCAACCTAGAACTAAGGAGGAATTTCCTGACAGTGAGAACAATTAACCAGTGGGACAACCTGCCTCCAGAAGCGGTGGATGCTCCAATGCTGGAAGTTTTTAAGAAGAGACTGGACAGCCATTTGTCCGAAATGGCGTAGGGCCGTGGTGGCGAACCTATGGCACGGGTGCCACACCTGGCACGCAGAGCCCTCTCTGTGGGCACGCGCACCGTCACCCCAGTCCTAGGCCTTCAGCTGGGTTTTATAAACCCTTTTCGTTTTAGGTCTCTGCCGCTGTGTGCAAAAAAAAAAAAAAAAGTTCAGTCAATCAATTTCAACTTCTCACAGAAAAAAAAGATCTGCAAAGTTGGAATTGATTGATTGAACTTTTTAGTCCCACCCAGTCTGCCGTTACCACTGCAGCCACGTCCACCCAATGGGCCACACCCACCCAATGGGCCACACCCACCCGGCACCCGACGATACATAAGTGCGTTTTGGGTTGCAGTTTAGGCACTTGGTCTCTAAAAGATTCCCCATCACTGGAATAGGGTTTCCTGCCTGAGCAGGGGGTTGGACTAGATGACCTCCAGGGTCCCTTCCAACTTTATCATCATCATCATCATCATTATTATTGTTGTTGTTGTTGTTGTTGTTGTTGTTGTTATACACTGTCAGGAACTTTCTCATTAATTCCAGGTTGCTTCTCTCTTTGATCAGTTTCCAACCATTGTTTCTCATCCTTCCCTCTGGTGCTTTGCTGAACTACCGGGCCCCCTCTTCTTTGTGGCAGCCCCCCAGATACTGGAACACTGCTATCCTGTCTCCCCTATTTCTTCTTTCCTTTAGACTAGCCAAACCCAAGTCCTGCAGCCGTTCTTCGTATGTTTTAGCCTCCAGGCCTTGGATCATCTTAGTTGCTCTTCTTCTCTGAACTTTTTCCAAACTCTCAATATCCTTTTTGTAGTATGGTGCCCAAAATTGGCTGGAGTGCTCCAGGTGTGGTTTTACTAGGGTTTTATAAAGCGGTACTAATACTTCGCGTGATCTTAATTCTATGCCTCTCTTTATGCAACCCAGGATTGTATTAGCTCAGGGGCTAGTGATAGCAGGGAAAACAAGGCACGATCTGGAGGAAAAACCCGCTTGCAAGCAGTATATTAAAACCACTATTCATTATTACTTCTCCCAGGGTCCCTTTGAATCCCAGCCAATCCACAGGTGGCGTAGTGTTTTGGTAACTGGCTCCTTTGGCACACTCTTCAAGGTCTCTCTCTGGCTCCAGGCAGCAAAACCGTCTCCTAGATAAGGGTGATGCATTCCTTCTCCTGGGGGGGGGGGAAGGATGTAGTAGCAAGACAGTGCAGAGCATCCCCAAAGCATTCCCCCTCCCAACAGAATGGCAGGCCCCAAAGAATGGTTATGAAAGCACGTATACTGTAAAGGGGGGAAACAATACATTTATTTGAGGACCTGACAGCCACCCTGACTGGAGATTTGGGACAATTTCTAGCATTTTTAGCAGGCACTGGATTGAAGAAAGAAGCCCTATACCAGGGGTAGGCAACCTTGGCTCTTTTATGACTGGTGGACTTCAACTCCCAGAATTCCTGAGCCAGCCATGCTGAGGAGAAATGGAGAGGTTTCCAAGCTCAGCCATGCCGGCTCAGGAATTCTGGGAGTTGAAGTCCAGACAGACAGACAGACAGACAGACCTAGATCAGGGATAGGCAACCTTGGCTCTTTTATGACTCGTGGACTTCAACTCCCAGAATTCCTGAGCCAGCCATGCTGAGGGGAAAGGGAGCGGTTTCCATGCTGAGCCAGGTCGGCTCAGGAATTCTGGGAGTTGAAGTCCACGAGTCATAAAAGAGCCAAGGTTGCTTACTCCTGCCTTAGCTTAACCATGAATTTGAAGCGGGAAAGGAATGTCTGTAAACTTTCCAAACGAAATTAGCTGAGGCCATTTTCTCTTCCTTTTCGGTTGCCACAGAATTGGGAGGGGGGGATGAGTGTTTTATCTTAGATATAACCATAAGTTGTTCCCTGGGAACCAAGGTCATTGCTAACTGCATTTTGGCAGGCTGTAGTCTCCGTGGCAATTGGTTAATTGAGGAATGTGATTTATGACTCACTGTTGGGGTGGGAAGTTTGTAACTTTGTAACCTTTTGGGGGAGTGTTTCAGTTTTGGGTTCGTGCTGTTATTAGGTAGCCCAATAAAAATGTTCTTTAAAAGGAACTCCTCATCTCTCGGAATCATGACAACGTCATTGTGTCTTAATAAACCTTTCTTCCTCTCTCTCCTAGTCCATCGATCCTGGGCAACAGTTCACGTGGGAACACTCCAACCTCGAGGTGAATAAGCCCAAAAACCGCTACGCCAACGTCATCGCCTACGATCATTCTCGCGTCATCCTCCTCCCGATCGAAGGTACCGAGGAAATTGGGGAGGGAGGAGAAATGGGTTGTGGGTTGACCTCCTCAAAAGCGGAGAGTCCCATTACGGGGTTGTTGTTTTTTTGCGGTCATGAATTTGCTGTACAAAGCTTAGATGAAATCAAGAGGGCTTGCTGGTCTTCTCATCCGCCATGTTTAAACTACAATGATCCTTGGCGTAGGATAGCGTTGAGAGGGAGGAAATGGGAAGAGCTTGAGGCTTGGACCGTGCTCTTCAACATCTTCATCAATGATTTGGACGAGGGGATAGATGGGGAACTCATCAAATTTGCAGACGACACCAAGCTGGCAGGAATAGCCAACACTCCAGAAGACAGGCTTAAGATACAGAAGGATCTGGACAGACTTGAACACTGGGCACTATCTAACTAAATGAAATTCAATGGTTCTACATTTAGGCAAGAAAAACCAAATGCACAAGTACAGCATAGGTGGCACCTTGCTCAATAGTAGTAACTGTGAGAGGGACCTTGGAGTCCTAGTGGACAATCACCTAAATATGAGCCAGCAGTGTGCTGCAGCTGCCAAAAAGGCCAACACAGTGCTAGGCTGCATTAACAGAGGGATAGAATCAAGATCACGT